CCATATAAGAATTCATAGCAATTAACTTCAGTTTTCCTACCTAATACCTACTTTCTCCATGATATATAACACAAGAGATAATAACAGTAATACATATATAGTCCAGGTGGCAGCACCAGTGTCGACATATTCACAAATAATGCTAAGATTTTTGGAAGTTCCGTATTAAAAAAGTATTCAAAATCCAAGTAGATTACAAGTTCTCGTAAATTTAATGATTGATTATACAACCATTCTCAGAATAAGACTGCAGATCGATTACTTAACGTTACGAAATATTATTCCGAAAGAGTTCTATTTGAATCTCGGCCGGCTACTATGGCTGAAAATTTTCGTGGTTTTTCCCAGTCGCTCTAGGAAAATTATTCGATAATATGTAGTTTGGGTCACTACCGTTTCCTTACAAGTCCTTTCCAATTCATCATTCATTTGTCATCCTACCTTCAGACATTATATAGGTTCCAGACTGAAAAAGCTACCTTAAATAATCCACGCAAAAAGAGATTATGAAACACTAAATATATGTATACACATGCACTTTAGTGAGGGCACGCTTATACGGAAATTTTGATTGCGAATTTTCCGTCTTCTCTTTTTCAGTCGTTCCTGGCAAAATCCACGTCTTCGGGGACACAAGAAACAGAAGGCCAAGTTTATACGGCGGCATGATATTGAGTGCGAGGTCTATTGCAAAATGGGATGTGCAGAAACAGATAATCTCTTTAAGATTACGGTTTTCCAGGATGTGATGCGTGTGCTCTGATAGATGGGTGTCAGCCTTTCGGAGAACCAGCTGCCTGCATCTTCGAGGCAGAACGCAGCCTGAAGATAGTAGCACAAGACTTCTCCGGAACATCGGTAATTAACTATCAAAGTGACGGCGTCAGATTCTACAAGAATATAATAATCTTCACTGCAGTGAAAATCTTTAATCCAACAACTGAATGTGGTTTATGTCCATTTAACGACGGTTTAACACTTCCGTATATTACGTAAGTTTCTAGCTCCTAATGACAAGATCTCTATAAATTATAAATAAGCGAAGGATGAGAATTGAACAGGCCATGGAGTATTTTAAGGGATTATCCTATGATCTGACACGTGGAGCTGAGGATAACTACAGAATATAGATCTATATATCTGGATTGCCGACCTCAACAACTGAGAATGAAACTTGAATTCCCTGGAACAGAAACATTCAATTTTATCATTTTTGGCACTAAAGACAGTTCGAGGCTTTTCAGACCCTAATCAGGACGGCGGAGTGACCTTGCATGTGGAACGACACTATCCCAAGCCTGTATCTCCCCCTTCTTCCCAAACGCAAAGAGTTATGGGAAGGTCCAGCAGTGATTGATTCCTTTCAGATGCTCCATTCTGTACGGTCACTGTTTAAAAAACATGACATTCATCACCATTTCCGTTAATAATAAGCATATTAAAGACCATGGATATTATAAAATATAAACTTGCCATCGTTTCAGAGGTTTTCCAAAACTCATTTTCCCCTTAAGGTCCAGTGATCGAGGTTAGCTCTTTCTAAGATACCCAGTAGAGTAGGTGGTCCCCCCCCTCTTAGGGGCTGTGATAGCGTAGTCGGTATGAAGACTGGCTACCGGCTGGACGGCCGAGGGGTTGGAGTTCGAGTCCTGGTAATGTCAAGAATTTCTCCACGTCGTCCAGACCGGCTCCGGTGCTCACCCAGCCTCCTAGCCAATGGGTACCGGGGTCTATTGCGTTAAGCGAACAACTCACTTGCAGCTAGTGCTGAGGTCAAGAAAATGTGGCTCTATACATCCACTCCCCCACATGCCTTCATAGCGTAGGTCTTAATTAGTTAAACACAGAGACAACTTTACATTTTTTTACCATTTTCCCTTTAAGGTCTTTCTTAGAACCTTGTCACAGTCCATCCTGTCACTTGTTCTTTCCAATGTCTCCTGTATTCCTCTATAAATTCCGTAAAGAAAATGAATAAATTAATTTATGTATTTAAATTATTATTTACTCACTTTCGTGGCACATTGCGTTGCATAATTTCCACTATTGCGACGTTTATTTGATGAAAATCGATGTTTCGCGGCATCTACATGTTTGTCATTATATAAAATATACGTACATCTCACACAGTGGTCTATTTTTAGGTACTGTAATGGTTTAATTATTCAAATTTTCACAGGTGTAGGTGCAATGATTCGTCATTTGTGGTAGTCAAATGAAGTTTAGATGCAGACATTGCGAGACTGCATTCATTATTGTCGCTTTACAACGTTAATGAAAGTTGCATGTATTTTCAAGATCTGTTATGCTATCAGGTTTAGTGACTATCCATCAGTCTGTTAAAACGTTGCCAGAAATTGGACATTCTTACTTCATGACAGGTACCATTAAATCTATCATTCCTTAAGAATAAGGTAAAAGGTAAAATTGTCCCTATGCTTAACTAATTAAGCACCACGCCATGAAGGTGTATGAGGGGGTGGATGTCTAGATTCATATTTTCTTGACCTTGGCACTAGTTGGAGATGACTGGTCAGCTTCACGCCCCAGGGAAAGAGCCCTCGATACACATTGGATAGGAAGCTGGGTGGACCCCAGAACCGGTCTGGACAACATGGAGAAGTGTAAATTCTTGATCACACCAGGACTTGAACTCCGACCCCTCAATCGTCGAGCCAGTAGCCAGTCGCTATACCGACTGCGGTATGGATAGAAACGTTATAAAGAAAGGCATTTTTCAATAGGTGTTCTCGGACTGAAGCAGATGAAGTTCCGAAACGTCGAAATGTTATTGAGTAACGACGTGGTCTGTAGTACTACGATAATTTAAATTAACTGTATTGACGTAAGAATTCACAAAAAATGGACATATTCTATGTACGATGCCCTCACTTGAGGACTAAGTTGTTCAGAATGGACAGCAAGATATTACTAAACCCGCAGCCACTGGATATCCAGATTGCTATGTACTGCAACTAAAGTGCGCTCCTTTAATATTAGTAAATTTATACCTATATTTGGTTCAAATATCCCCAATCGTAGCTTATCCGTCCTAAGCAGTTTCCATTTGCCAGACATTCTACCGCGTGTGTTCTCTTAATTCGTTCCTACAAACACAGAAGAGGATAGATGAGAAGTTGCTGAATTGTAAAATAAAAGCCCAACTCCATTGATCTCAGTAGTTCACTTGTTGACCTTCAATCAGATGGAGCCTCAGTCGACGACCTTATTCCTCAAACTCCTCCATTTAACCACTACAAACCTTCAAAATTTAAGATTTTCTGAAAAAATTCTGCAGAGTACAAATAACAGAGCAACTAAACATATTAAATGTAGAGCCGTTTGTTATTGTCTTATTTATAACTCGAAATGTCTGTTCGGTTCTGCATACGTAATTTCACTTTCAAGTAAAACAAAATCCTGGCCCAGGAACTTAACCAGCTCCATCGGTAGAGTCGCTCAGCTAATCAAGAAATTCCCAATGTTTTGAATATGAGTTACCTTGTCCCCAATTAGAAGGACCTCTATGACACTCATCTGTGATTGATTCATGCAGTGGTTGGTAGCGTCCCTTGTTGCTGCATTCTTTAAAAACACATTTTTCCATCACAGATGAAGCAAACAAGGAAATATCCCACGTAGTCTGAAACTTATGATTTTCTTTTCTTTGTTGCAGCCATAATAGGACGCGATAATTTATTACAAAAAACCCGGTGAATAATCTTAACGCACGTGGGTAATATTCATCAGTAACATTACTAATTGCGGGGCATGGGGTAGCGTAGTTGGTTGAGGCACTAAGTTACTAGCCGGAAGGTCGCGGGCTCAATTCCCGATGAGGTCAATGATTTTTCAACTGATCTAATCCTTCCAGCAGCACTATGGCCACAGGGTCGACTCCGCCTCTAACAGAAATGCGTACCAGGAATCTTCCCGGAGGTAAAGAGCGGCCTGCGCGCAAGGCTGACAACCTCACCGCCACCTGTGAGCCGACTGTCTAGAAAATGTGGAGCGTCGACGTCTCACAACCATATGGGCCTCCACTTCTTACAGTGATAACTTTACATTTTTCAACAACCACTAATTAAAATACGTTTAGTAACAATCAGCTGCTTGCGTGGAAACGCCAAATCACTTGCAAGCATTTCCTCAGTTGCGTTTATTTTATTCATTAAGAGATAATATATAGGTATTCTTGTCTAGTTACTTAAGCTGATATTTTTCTAATGCAGTGTTCACAGTTATCCCAAAGACTGCAGATTCGCACATAGCAAATCACAAAGAACTCTTTCACACGTGTAACAATATGTTTTGCCGGCCTACCTGATCTTATTGCGTAATGGAATATTAACCTTTCAAAGCCAGTGGTCACTACATTCACTACCTGCTTTAACATACTAAAACTCTTCATTCTGACCACAGATTACATTACGTGTTTCGTATTGTTCTCACAGTCAACAGCGACTTTTTTCCCTAAACAGCATTAACCGGTTGGCCTTTGTTACGAAGAAATACTCTGTTGTCTGTGAGGTACGAACTGAATTTTGTATATTATTTGGAAGAATTATGTGCTGTAAAGACCTAGCAACAACGTATCAGCTTTAGTGCAAATGACAGTAATTTCTGGTTTCAAACGTAAATGCTTTTCATTTCAATAGCGTGTATATAAAGATATTTTGTGGAAATATATTTAAGCTCTTTGCTTTTATATTCATTCTGCGGAATTCATTCGCGAGCTGCATCTGACCCTCTGGCGGCTTCGGGTTACTCAACACTGTCCCAGAGCGAGGTTAGAGACATTTTATGTATCGCTCCACATTATGTGGCAATTAACACGGTAAATGTAATCTTAATGAGGAAGTATTTTATAATAACGGTAATGTATGAGATTCACCACAGCAACTATCACCTTACATGCTGCCATATGTAGTTACAAAACAAATTTGAACGTCTGTTTAACGCAAAAGTGAATATATATATATATCAATTTATTTAGACACGTTATTTATGATAACCTGAACACGTTCTGGAAAGAACGACCATCTTCCTTTTACGCGTTGACACTGCGTAAACGCGTGGAGTGTTCTTACCGCAAGACAGGGCGCCACAGAGCAGATGGTAACGTCGGTCGCCATGCAACAATATAATCAGCTCCGCTAGCCCAGTCTTGCTGTAAAACAACACCACATTTTTAAAGAAAACTTGTGTTTCCTTCGATAATAGAACAGATAAAGTTACTTTCTTTATTTTTCAAGAAACAATTTGAACACAACAGCAAAATTCTGAATTACATTTAAACATAGGCTTTCATAAATTTCCTTTGACTTGCTGGTTTATATACACAGACACAGCAAAGTTTTCAAATGTTCATAATTCAATTTTCAAATGACATTAACGATACACAAAGGTTGACATACCCAATCCATTGACATAATTATTGGCAATGAAGACTGGGTTACACGTGTCAGTAAAATCTGACATTAATAATAAATATTTGACTTGATAAAGCGATGCGCCTTTATGTACACTACATTACTGATGACTTTTAATGCTTGGAATCATTTTGTTTTACTCTTGAAGCGCGAGATTTGAAAAAAAAAGTCTTCTTAGCACAATGATTTTTACACATTTCTGCATACTCTTCCAGCTCACAGGTATTAAACACAAACACTGACTTAACTATGAGTTATTTTATTCTTTGATATTATAATTTTTAATAACCACTGGCAGGCGGAAAACATCTGCGACCATACTGTTAACACAATGACACCTTCCTTTGTTTCGAGTTTAAATAATTAAACACAACCTACACAGACTTTTGCACACGAAAACGGGAGACTCTTTGGTTGTCATTTTAGTAATGAAGTCTGTCACATCCATTCTCATTTCAGCATTTGGTTATCATCATATAATCATAATCAATTTTATGTTTCTTGTTAATATTTTGTTTTCAAAATGGATGGCAAAATATTATGAGCGCTATCGTTGCTGTATCTTTTCCCTTTATGGCAAGGGGAAGCACACATTAAATGTACAACTGACACTAGAACACTAAATAGTTTAGCAACGCTATGACAAACTCTGAAGCAAGCAAATGTAGTTTTTGGGCAGTGAGGGTCACTTCGGATGGACGCCTAACACTACTGACTTTCACATTCTCATTAGTTTAGGGAGCCATAGATCAGTTTTGCATGAGGAACTAGTCCAACAATATTCCAAGTTTGGCACGATTATGGGATCACTGTGTCGTCACACCTGAACTTCGTTTCGAGCTCCACGTTCCGCTGCCTTCAGGAATGATGACGTCGATGTAAAAACATCTTCTGATTGGCTCCAAGCTGATATGTGATGTACGCCATCGCCCCCTCCCACTTTAGACGGGAGAGTTCCTTTGACAGCTGTTCCTGTCCCAGCGGATGTAGAGTTCGCTCCGCCGAACAAGAAACTCCTCCCTAAACCGCCGCTCAACACGCCTCTATTTATACTTCCGGTTCCGCCACCCATCATAGTTACAATGGGATGAAAACCTATAATGGGGAAAAAAAAAGATAAATACAGACAAGAATTGGATTGACGACCGTACACAGCAATGAAGTTTAGAAACCTATACACAGATCGGAAATGCATAAGGGAAAAGAGAGAAAATAAATGAGAGGAAAAATCAACAAAGAATTTATTATCTCTTGGTGAATTTTAATCAGGAATGTCAATCGATATTATCAGTTTTTCTTTTAACCTAAATGTAATTTTCTTTCCCTTGTCAGTTTAAACGAATTCCTGTTCAAATTTTACATTTTCCACATGGGTGCCCAGTCAGAATTAGGTTGTACATAGCAATCAGCAGGCCCTGTCCGTGGTATCTGGCTCGCTCCAAACCAGAGAAATTCATTGATTAATTTTAAATTTTCAACAAAATGGAAATGTTACGGAATATTGCAATAATTATAGATTCTAGAGCATTCTGGCGATGATTTCAGTGAAACTTGTTGCTCCTGCGCACGTCGTTTATCTTCATTAACTTACTAATTTATATTTACCCATCCCTCTCAACTTCTGCAGTTAGTAACTCCATCCTTGTCTTGTATTAAATACTAGAACATGAAATGTATTTCAAGAGTAATTTTCTACAATTTGGTAAAGGAACGCCATACATAATGGAGAAATTATAGACATCACACAAAATTCTATAGCTATTATCGATCAACATCCCTAATATTTTAAAGGGGCATAAATATTACAAAATGCAGTATTCACGTACGTTTGATTCTTAACAACCTCATGGCTTTGCCGACTATGGTGAATAATGTAGAGCGGATACTAGAGTCAGGTTTGCGGTAGAATTGAGGCCATATTTGTAACCAGAAGTGGTCCTAAATTGTATTCATGCCTTGTCTAGGGATAAAAAGAGAGAGAAAAAATGAATTAGTTTGAACAGCTTTTAAAAGCAAATCATTTAGTTTAAACTTGAGAAAATAACTGATTGTTCATTATATAAACTCTTTATTTTACAAAATAAACAGTTAAATTTGTTATAAACAAGGCATAATTTTTTACCTCTAAGACATGAATATTATCGCACACATGAAGAACAGATGAAAAAATGAAGTGCAAGATACTTGTCAACTTAGTCTCATATCTCCAAAGGAGGTTACTGAGCCAAATTGCGGACGTTTCCCGCCCAACAGCAGTCTCTAATACCTCTGGTAGATGGGGGAAGCATTATAGATACCTCTCAGCTAGTAGAGCCGGTCTCGCTGGCTGGGAGGGACTGATGGTAAGTACCAATACCGGTAGGATACAGAGACTGGTAGAAATCATAGAGGGAAGCACAATGGACCAATACAGGTCTAAGTGCATGGGGAAACCCACCCTCTCCAAATAACTAACTAATAACTAGTCTGTAAACACATGACATATACAGCTTGAGCCATTTTAAACATACAGAGCTATTACATCTCTAAAGTCTACATTCCCGCCAATAAATAACCAGAAAATTAACAAAAAAAAAATCCAGTAATAAGGAAGAATATCTCACAACTACATTACATTTATAAATATGGTGATATTTAACTAAAATATGAATGTGGAGAACGCAACTATCCCCCACTGAGGATGTGCTGCTCTCTGGCGGTGACTGTAATAATCTCATGAACATATTATCATTATTGTTTTGCGAAGCAGCTCTGTGCGAGAGTTCTGCTGGATGGACTCCCTGCGATTATTGCAAGGAAATGTACAGTGATGATTATAGCATGCCTTGATGATACTGCAGCACTAAGATCGCTGCATTCAATCAAACTAAGGTTTCAGATAATTTATTCATATGTCCTTGAACGGGTAAATCTGATCCTCAATATCGCCTCCTAGTCGCTATATGACACACATTCAGCTCTGTTATTCTTCTTCTTCAGATTCCGCGGGATAAAGGTGCAGTGATGTATAAACTGAGGCAAGCTGTAAAGAGAGTAAGGATCAAGCAGAGGTCTGATTAACGTTTCTAAACCCTTAATGAGCCGAGACCACAATCAAAGAGTTTTGTTAAAAGACGGATGTGGTTATTGCAAAGGTAGACAACACATTCCCGACGGCCATTTTGGTTTGTTTATACCTTGAAAATATATGGCAGGTTTCGGGACCACGGTTTATTTCTACGAAAATTAGAGGGACAATATTTAGAACACTGTTTTACCTTATAAACCACAAAAATTAATTCTAAAGCGTTATGATGACGGAGTATAAAACTCATGTCTGGTATTCTAAAAAATACAAAAGAAGAGAACGTTTCGGAAACTGAACATATTTCCGTCCTCAGGTTAGGGGTGAGAGACACCTACTATGTTAGGTCCGTTAGGAAGAGCTAACCCCAATCACTGGATAATCTATTTCAACATAACTATAGCTATATAAATATTCGAGACCAGGCTTTGTCAGTGGGAGCTAACAGGAAAAATGTACAACAAAAATTTGTGATTGAGCATAAACCTGATAGAAAAGGAGATGGAACAAAAGAAAACAAGTCCATGAAAACCAATGCATAGGATTAACTGGAGAATTTCATGTCGTGAAACCATTTTTTTGCCAACCGCCCGCGCAATTTGTAGAATAAAAACGGAACATCAGGACTAAAATCATGCAGACAATTATGACAAATCTGTCAGGTCATACTGAACTTTCCTGCGAGTTGCTAAACTCATTGTTAATAAGAGGGATCCAAATGGGAGAAATGTCAAAATTTTGTTGGCTGATCGTACAGGTTGAACATACCACAGAGGCCAATTCGTTGTATCATTGTATTTCCTGTACCTGCTCTTACTTAACATTCCCCAAATCCTAGCTTCATCCTATCATACCCCAGGACCCTCTTCATAGGCATGCTGAGTTAACTTCGAATTTTTTTGAGGCTGTGCCTATTTGTCGATTGATTAAGGCAAGATCTTTCTAACGGAGCATGTGCCTCCCCCCACATGAGGGAGGAAACAGATCCAGTTTCCGAAACGTTATTTTTTTTCTTTGTTTTTAGAATACAAGGAGATGGACAAAGTCCAAAAACCCAGTGACCCTCAACACAAAAACTGAATTTATTTTTATGAATAAAAAATGTTGACTTCATGCATTAGAATTTTGATATTAGAATATTTTAGATGGAAAGTGTAGTTTGTTGAGCACTGTGTTACTGGCAGCAAGATAGCAGGTTTGATTCCCGATGAGGTCCTTCAAGCCGCATTACGGCCTTGACAGAAATGAGTACCAGGAATCTTCTCGGAGTTAAAGAGCGGCTGGCGCGTAAGCCTGACAACCTCACAGCCATCTGTGAGCTGACTGTCTAGAAAATGTAGCAACCTCGACGTCTCACAATCCTACGGGCCTCACCGCCTCTTACGCCTTACCTTGATGGATAGCAGTACCACGGCTTACAGCGCTCATTCCTATTTATCACATCCCTCCCTTTACACCTACGTGGTAAGCTTAAAACTTCAGTGGGAGATATTGGGTCCATTTGCCTTACTGTTAGAAGACATTGCTTTCTGATGGCACTTTACAAAATGTCGATTTTATAAGCTAGGAAATATCTTTCTTCCACACTTCTGCAGGTATCCTTTAACCATCGGATTCAACCATATCATAAATTATTGCAATCATAGGAGAGATGACGGATACAAATTCTTCGAAGATCTAAACGAAGATGGGACTAAAATATAAAGCTGGAACTCCATAGGTCCATAGCATACTCGGTATAGCGACTGGCTATGGGCTGGACGACCTACGGGTCCCAGTATGATCTAGAATTTTCTCTTCATCACGTTGTCCAGACCGGCTCTGGGGCCCACCCAGCCTTCTATTCAATGGGCACTTGGGACTCTAAACCCGGGGGTAAGCGGCAGGGGCGTGAAGCTGACCACTCACCTCTAGTTAGTGCTGAGGTCAAGAAAATATGGATTTATACATCCACCCCCCCTATACGCCTTCATGGCGCAGTGCTTAATTAGTTAATCACAATTTAACTTTTTAACTCTATAAGGCCGAGTCATTCTAGAGAAGCCAAGAGCCACTCAGCTGCTCAAGAATTTCCCAACATTTCATAGAACCAGAATGTTCATCGCCGTGTTCACAAAAGCTCGTCACTCGTCCCTATCCTGAGCCAGATTAATCCAACCCCTACCACCCCATATAATTTATCCAAGATCCATTTAATATTATCATCCAACCTACGGCTAGTCTTCTCATCTCTTTCAATATGAAGGTCCCTTGAAATCACGGCATGGCGCATGCTCAGATTGCGGATGGAGGAGACGGCCTCCACGTGAGTGTAACTGTGAATATACTGAATGGAGAGCTTGAAGGATGTGCGTGGGGCTAACAACTTCTCACCGTAACAAAATAGCTTGTTACGAACCTTCACACAGGGCCCCGGACTTATACAGGTTCTTTGGAATATAATAAAATATATCTTAAGAACAAGAAGTTCTGGGAAGGACTAGTGGCCTACATCGTTCTTTTATAGGGTATAAAATGAAATACAGCTACAGACTTTTGTTCTGACACAAGGGAAGCTCGTCCCTGTACTTAAGTATGGAGGTAAAGTTCCACGCATCCATAACCTTGGGGCTATATGGAAAGGAATTCACACTCCAGCCGCTTTACCCTTGGGGAAAGACAACTCTATCGAAGCCGTACTGGATTTTAGAATCGACAGCCCCTTCCGGAATTCCAACACATTTATCCAGCCCCTCACCTACCACTTCACTGCTGAGTGTCCCGATTCATGATTTGTCTGCTTAATAAAACGAATTTTATTCGGAAATTTCAGCCGCTAAGAAAATTCTGTTCCACAATTCGTTCAAAAATTTAATTATAAATTAGAACTATAGACGAATTCGTGAGAAATACTACCCACGTATCATTCAGTATGTATTTACAGTAAAAATTGTTAAAATTACACACTGGGCAGGACATGTAGCACAAATGGAGAGAACAGGGATGCATATAGGATATTGGCGGGAAAGCCAGAAGGAAAGAACCACTGGGAAGAACAAGGCGTAGGGGGGTGGACAATATTAAAATGGATCTTAAATAGATAGGATGAGATGGTATGGATTGGATTGATATGGCTCAGGATAGGGACCAGTGGAGGGCTCTTGCAAACACGGTAATGAACTTTCGGGTTCCATAATATGCTGGGAAATTCTTGAGTAGCTGCAAAATTGGCAATCCTCAAGAAGGGCTCACCTGAATGAGTAACCAAGTAAGTAAGGCCGCGCCATAACTCAAGCGGTTAGTCGCTGACTTCCCACCGCGGCGGCCCGGGTTCGTTCCTGGGTCTGGTCAGATGGAATTTGTGATAGACAAAGTGGCGCTGGGGCAAGTTTTCTCCGAGTACTTCGGTTTCCCTTGCCAATCTTCATTCCACCAATTGCTCCACAATCACCCTCACCTATCATCTGGGGCTGGTACAATAGGCCAGAAGTGGCCGCAGTGCAAGGGACTTAGTCCCACCCCACTAGCAAAAAAAAGTAAGTAAGTAATTTTAAAAATATGTCTTACATGATTGTGTATTCTCTTGGCAATGGCCTCGCTGTACGTTTGTTGCATATGGCTCTTGCTGCAAGGGGTAATCACATTAAGGAGAGAGAAAAAGAAAAAGTTCGACACGCTTTTCTAAACATTCATCTTGTCGGAAAAAGTTTGAAGAATACGCCGCGGAGCTCAATGCGAGTTTATGTTTTACGTCATGTGACATTTTATTTTGTCTTACGACTTAGCCGAGAAAATTTATACTGAACTTAATTCTTTTGTACCAAGAATACATTGGACTTATACGAACAGAAGTTCAATTCTTCTATCAATATTTAGAGCCGACAAAGAGGTGCAAGCTGAAGTGCCGCCTCGGGCGAAAATAATTCTACCTACCCCTCTTTCAAACACGGATCAGCTTTCTCAAAACCTCTTCGTAATCAATAACACGAAATTTCCTGATACTTTCACCAATACCGTCAATTTTGTAACAGCTCTTAAAAAGGTTTTCTTTACATTGTTGCACGACAACTTTCGGTTATTGCCAATTAATGGCCATAGTATGAACAATATAAGCTAGTAAAAACTATTTTCACTTAACAAAAATCAGTAAAAGATAACTGCAAAATGTGGTGCCCTGAGGTGCCAGTGGATTTGCACGTGTGGCTGCGGCTGCCCTATCTGCAGATGTCTCAATGTCAAATTTATCTACAACCCGCTCAGCAGTCTTACAAAGAGAATAACAGACCTCCGTATTTTCACTCACTCACTCATGGAGCTGAGCCCATCTTGAGAAGCTGCTAATTGTACAGCTACTCAAGACATTCCCAGCATTTTATGGAACACGAAGGCTCAATACCGCGTTCACAAGAGCCCTCCACTGGTCCCTATCCTGAGCCAGATCAATCCAATCCATATCATCCCATCCTCTTTCTAAGATCCATTTTATTATTGTAAGATTTGAGGTTTTCACGGCGGTGACTATGAAGAAAGCAGTCTTCTGGGATTTGGCACCGTGTATATGTGGTGTTAACCGACGTTTCGGAGGAACGTATCGCCTCCATCTTCATGGTAGAAGGAAAAATATAAGAAATCCGCAGGCGAAGAGACCGTNATTCTTCTTCTCCCCCATTCGTGCTACATACCCTGCACATTTCATCCTCCTAGACTTGATCAGCCTAATTATACTTGGACAAGAGTGCAAGTTATGAATCTCCTCATTACACAGTTTTCTCCAGCCTCCTGTCACTTCATCTCTCTCTTAGTTCGTTTATCGAAGGAATCCGTCCATCCCAAAGGCTTCTTGTGTTCTTTCGTAACAAGCTTATTGTTTTACGGCGAGGAACTGCTAGTCGCAAACCCAGTTCCCTAGCTGGAGTTTGTCCGCAACTCTTTATTCAATATATTCTCAGCTACCCTCCATACCTGGAGGCCGTCTCCTCCATACGCAACCTGAGGGGACGCCATGCCGTGGTGACCTCCGCATTTTGCTTTCATTTAAGTACTATAGGAACGTCACGCCAGTCTAACTGAATAACGAAATGACCAACTATGTTGTAGCAGAACCCGTGGGTTCAGCACCACTGATATAAAAGCGCGTCACTGGCCACTATCTTGAGGCATTTCTGCTCACCTTCAATCTTGACAACTCACCTCGGTAAGATCATCTTAGTGTGAGCCTCTAATTTCCATCAAGGTCCTCCGCATGGACATTTGCCGAGAAGGTACCCCGTGAAAATTCGGTATGCACCAGTCTTCTCGCCTCAGGAGAGCCACATATTCAGTTTACGGCAACTTCTCGGATGTTACTTTCCTGCTTCAGTACTAAATGCTAATCGTATTTCGATTACCCATATACTCATACGTTTAAATAAAGATGGATTTACTGATGAAAAGCTCCTCAACATAAATCACGGGGATTTTTTATGGTTTAATATTTCTTACATCTATTCTGGAAGAAATTCTACCGAATTCCGAACGACTATCAAGAGATGCTGTTGTAGGTCTGCCAATAAAGAGTCAGGCTGAAGAACGGAAGCCTTAGTAGATCAAGCAACATTTCAATTGGCCTCTCGAGTAGAGATAAACAAACTTCTTCTCTCATCTGTTATCAGGGGCTTGAAGGTCTTTCACTGCCATAGTAGCATATTGTGCTATGCATTTTTCACATAAACTTCTTGCTGGATAGTGTGTCAGCTATGAGGCTGTATTTATTGTCATCCACAAGTCCAGAAATAAGACTATAATAAATTTAAGAGTATTTTTTTATTGCTAGTGGGGTGGGACTGAGTCCCTTGTACTGCGGCCACTTCTGGCCTATTGTACCAGCCCCAGATGAAAGGTGAGGGTGATTGTGGAGCAATTGATGGAATGAAGATTGGCAGGGGAAACCGAAGTACTCGGAGAAAACCTGCCCCAGCGCCACTTTGTACACCACAAATTCCACTTGACCAGACTCGGGATCGAACCCGGGCCGCCGCGATGGGAAGCCAGCGACTAACCGCTTGAGTAAATTCACATTCACGTTGGGTGTGAGTCTTGCGTGAAGTGACTATCCGTTGGTGTGTATGCCCATTCATTACTTGAAAGAACAGCATCTCGATATATTCTACTTGCGGATGCTGCAAATGTTCGCAAGCAACAGAATGCAGGGCAAAGTGCGCGTTCAATTTAAGTCATGTAAAAAATTCTAGACGACTGTCATAGTCCTCACTCCTCTGAAAGTACTGAAGTGTCGCCCGATAGTATTCTCTCACAAGAAACAGATTTTTGATAAAATGACCAATGTTAGGATTTCCATACAATGAAATATTCTCGGGGGATGCGCCTTGTTGGTACGTACATAATAATGAAACCCAGCGATAGATACATCTCTCCATCATCATGATCGGGAACTGAGTCGATGAATGAAACAAATTGATACGCCAGTTGTTGAAATGAACCGCAGTTCCCGTTAACCAAACCTTTGTCATAGACACAGCAATGACCGGATTTAAAATATGCCCACCCAACAACTGACCATGCTTAATGGTGTTTAGTCTAAATGTGACACCCACAAAAACGTAACTAATTGTTAACCTATGTACTGGACATAACTTTTGTTCACGCATTTTCAAACCATCGCCTCTCCGAATTAAATACCGTGTATGCTATTGGTTAAGACCGCCTCTGTGGTCAAGGGGTCATGGCTATATATCCAGAGGTCCGGGTTCGAATCCCGACGCTACTAGATTTTCTGAGAAGTAGTGGTTCTGGAACGGGGTTCACTCAGTCTCGTGAGGATAATTGGGGAGCTATTTCAAGGATATAGTGGCTCCTGTCTAGAAAACAAAGATTAACGACAGTGGGGATCCGTTACGCTGACAACGTGATATCCTCTATCTGCAAAACTTGGCACTAACTTCGCCGACAAGCGGCAGTCGCTCGGTCGGTATAGTTTGCTTGCGGACTACAGGCCCCAGAGTTTTTTCTATGCTATTTGTTATAACACATGCATGGTAGGCAATGCTCAGGTTATAAAAGTCACGATGAGTTACACCAAAAAAAAAATTGAAAGAAGAAACTCAGACTCACCTGTCCTGCATATTGGCACATCTTCCACCAACTTCTTACTCCTAATGGTCGATGAACCCGAGGTCAAAGAATATCTCCTGCATCTCCAGGCGAGGGCGCCGATAACAACGAGGAAGAGCAGCACTGCAGTTCCAGTTCCAGCCAGCAGTTCCATCTGTTGGCTTCTCTCTACGGTAACTTCGCCGACGACACCTCGGTTCACCAGAACTGACAACAAAGGGCTGCTAACCGCAGAGACCCCAGGATTGACAGCGCGAGAAGGCTCTCCAGAGGATGGTACAACGTCTGAGGGGGCAGACAGGAAACTTGACTCGAAAGTAACTTCTGGGGCGCGATGTGTGTCGATGACGAGGGGCTCACTGCGTTCAGCTTGGTGGTTCGATGTCCTGGAAACCAGCTCCACCTGAAGATGGACAAACACTGACCTTTACAAACTCGTCGTTTGTTACGGTTCGTAATTGACAAACAAAATTTGGACATCGGTGAAATTAAGCATAATTACCTTCACAGGACAGAATCCTTCTCAAGATCTGAAATTTATTCATTTGGACAAAAATTATGTAACTGCTTTTCACGAAACGCTCAGGTCCGACTTCCGTGCCCTTAACAACCCATCACGGGACCTTTCCAAAAGTCAAATTAACGATGTCTAGTATCTCACACCTTATGTCTTAATATTCACTTCATATTATCCATACCTAGGTCTCACAAATTGCATGCTACCTTCATATTTTCCGATTAAATTATTTTATATACACAAATATTCCTCATGGCTCGCATGCTACACGCCCAGTCCACCTTATCCTACTTTATGTAGTCCACCGCTTTGGGCGCCATACCTTCTGTAGCCGACCCACCCGAGAGTCAATCTTCTGGATCCAACGCCGTTTCTCAATAGGCTAATCAATGAATTCGGTAGAGCAAGGTTTATCTTAGGGAACATTGCGTGTGAATCTCAGTGGACGCAGTACGTCAAGGAATTGCACAGGTCAGGACACTGTGATTTCAAGCAGTCGGTAACAGTTCGATACTTAATTAATAGATGTGTGATCAAATTATTACGTTCACAGTCACGCGATGAATATCACATGTATTCAATTAGTACACCGTAACGCTCACCTTCTTATAACTGAGATGGTTTAACTCTACTAAAAGTACAAGTGTTGGTGGCACAGGTCGTAAAAAGTATACCAGACTGAAACTATGGATGCATAAGGTAAAAAAGTAAAGCTATCCCTGTAACAGGCCATGGGGGCCCATAGGGTTGTGAGACGTTCAGGGTCCCACATTATCTAGATAATCGGCTCACAGATGGTGGTGAGGTTTCAAATAAAAACAATTTAAATAAACTCGCTAGGTGGGACTTGCCGAAATCCCAGTTCAAGTAAGAACTTCTGATTGGGTTCACGCGCCTCCCCAAATGCTTATAACAATCGTACCGTCAATTTCGATAAGCGGATGTGTATTCTGATTAATCAGACTTATCTCGCTGGGGAATCCCACAAACGTGCTATATATTATCCACGGGCGCGATTATCGCGTTTAAACACAGTTCATCTGCATTCTTGTCTCTTAAGCCCGAAGAAAAAGATTCACCATAAGAAGAACGTGACAATGTGCTAATCAGAAAGTTATCTTTAATTGCACGTTCCCTCTATACCTGCCGAGACAACAATACGCCAAAAACGCCCGCTTCCCCTACTACAGCATCAATCGCACCTGGCCACACCCGGGGATATTATAACTATACGTATGTACCAGTGCGTACCTGTGGTTCGAAGCCGGGCAGCAGCGCCGTTCTGTGGTGGAAATTTCCCGACAAGCTGCGGAACTAGTAACTTATTAGAATAACTCTACCTTATTTAGTCACAAAGCTATTAAACAGCGTTCAACAGCGTCAATATATTATTGAGAATAAAACCCCTGCACATATGAGATCGCCGTTTACGGTAGCCGAGTAGTCAAAGGCACATACCTTACACCGCTGCCTTCGCTCGCTAAGAAGCAACGATCGTGGGTTCCAATCCCACACAAAGCATGGATGTTTGGTATGTGTTTATTCTGGGTCTGTGTTGCCATGTGTTTAGGTAGAGGCCTTGCGACGAGCTGATCACTCGTCCAAGGAGTCCTACCGTCAGTAAAATGATCATAAAACTGAAGAATCAGAGGCCAGGGCCCACGGGGGTTGCAGAGTCAGTGTAAAAAAGCATATGAGAACATGCACCTACAAGAAGAGATTATCGTTGTTTCAGAATACTGCCCTCACTCCGGTGAGCTGTATAAGGATCCAGTGTTTATGCTTGACTGTTCATATGCTTTTCAACTCACAGAGCCATGTGTAAATTGCGAATATAATTTAGAAGTAACTTGAATCTTAATTTAATTATTTTCTTTTAATTCGCTTAGTTGGGGGTGGAGTCGAACTGGGTCCACTCGACACGGCGGCCACTGATTGGCCCCGGATGATTATGATGATGAAGAATTTGGTGGAATGAAGATTGGCAAGGGAAACCGAAGTACTATGAGAAAACCCGCCCCAGCGCCATTTTGTCCACCACAAATCCCACTTGACCAGAGCCGGGATTGAACCCGGGCCGCCGCGGAGGGAAGCCAGCGACTAACCGCTTGAGCTATGGCGCGGCCAACTCGAATCTTTCAAAGCATCCTTTTAAGATAATATGTCTAAGGTTAGATAGCTCTTAATTTCAAGAACAAAGGCTAGAGACTCCCATAAAAATCTTAGAATCATTACGTATTCAGTATGGATATTACAAATATTCTTAATTTCAGAAGAAAGGAAGGCTAGAAACTTGCTTAATTTCATAAAAAGTGCAAGAACGGATTCTATTTCAAGTAAACATACGTACTCTTTGAAATTCTTGAATAATCAAGGTTACGCCATTTTATTTTTCATTCAAGGAAACAATAAAAGCAAATATCTCTTCCAGGAAATAAGGCTAAATATGCATAAACCTGAACCACCACTCCACCACTGACCCTGGATTCCGCTTGGCTGGCCTCTATCTGCAAATGCATTGTCTAGAGGCGTTACAGACCACAAAATTTACTCCAACATCGCCACAACGTACCGTATACGTATTTCAAATCAAGAAGAATGTCCATGTGGGCTGTAAAAACACTCTTCGTGTTCTGAAGCGACATGCGAGGAGGCAGGGGGTCAAACTAATGCAGAGGGACGAACACAAAGTTGAAAGGAAGAAGGAAGAAAAATGAGAAACAAAGGAAGAGAGAAACAACGAAAAAAAAGAAAGGAGGAAACCAGTCTATTCGTTTTATTTTCTCATATATTATGGTGAAAGTACTGCAACCGTAAGAAAAACAAACAAATACTAACAAGAACGAGATATTGAAGCAAGTATAAGCATTGGCGCCACTAGATGATGTATATTTCTTTTCATTTCCTACAGACGTAACGCAATTTTGGTTTGACGTACGAAATTTTGCTGAAGATCTCTCCAAACTCAGTTGTATCGAAGTCTGAACGCGCTAAAAACAGCGTTTAGGGAAACATATCCCGAAATAATAATAAGTATATTTTTATTTGCTTAAATAGACCTATATGTAAGGTAAAGGTACAGTTATCTCTGTGTTTACTTAATTGCCTATCACGCCAAAAAGATATGGGGGTAAACAGGTATATCTCCTTCTTCAACTCTTCGGCAGTAGATGAGGTTAGTGGTCAGTTTGACGCCCCGGCCAATTTTCCCCGGTAAAAAAAGTCCCCAGCACCCATTGGGTAGGAGGCTGGGTACGTCCCAGAACCGACCTAGACGCTATGGGGAAGAGGAAACCTCTTGCTTCTGCCGGCAATTGAACCCCGTCTGTCCAACCCGCACCTCATCACTATGCCCGCTGAGCTATCGATAGATAATATTCAGTGTAGGCCTCAAAAAACAAAGAAAACAAACTCCGTGGCCTGTAGTCCGCAAGCGAACTATACCGACCGAGCGACCGCCGCTTGTCGGCGAAGTTAGTGTCAACTTTAGCGGATAGCGGTCGTCGCGTGATCAACGCAACGATTCCCACGGCCGTTAATCTCGATTTTCTAGATCGGAGTGTAGGCATCAAAAGCAAATTTTATCAAAATTCGTCGAGTAGTTTATCAGATGAAACACGAAGGCCCTGGCAATACCTCCTCTATATGCCTTCACTAGGAGTACAGATGGCAGATTTCATTCTACTCATTCATGAAGGTTGTTTCAGGAAGCTGTGCCGTTGCCCATTCACGAAGTCTATTTGATTTCTGGTGACAAACCGTAAATGGGATACGCGCTGCCGCAATTATCAGAGTTCCTCATCGTTTAACATGGAGTTGTTCTGCCGATGGTAGTAATCATCTGTGGCAGCGGATTATGGCAGTGATGTCATACATACCATTCATCACCGAGGCACGAGATACTGAGCTCTCTGCCACTACATTATTAACATTACTAGGGCTCTGACATAAAAGTACTAAGTCTGAACATAGCCTACACAAAGCCCTGTGCCCCGGACACAATTCTGGACCAGTTCAATGTAACTCATAACTTCAGAACTTACTTCTTCGAGTATTTTCTACTAATCATTATCTGAGATACGTTTCTTATACACAGCGCTTCGGGAGTTGGGTATACTGCCGTCTTATTCTTCCACCCTGAAATTGGAGGCAGTGTGTTCCCTCGAAACGTTGGATGATCTTCAACGGACTACACGGCGTTCAAGACATAATCTCAACTCCTATACAGCAACTTTATTTACTGTAACAACAGGCCTTTAGACGAGTAATACGTACAACACAGGATTCTATCGATAGATCCCTAACGTTCACCGGGACCTACTGTGCCGGTATGCATGGTACCTGTAAGTACTTCGATCGGTAAAACTTTGTTTTGAATTATAGGCGAACCCCAATATAATGTGTTTGTAAGTTGGAAACATTTTCCCCCATAAGGATTAGGTGGGCAGGGCATATAGAACGAACATGGGGCTATGAATGTACATAAGATATTTATAGTAAAATCAGAAGGAAAGAGGCCACTAGGAAGACCAAGATGTGGACGGGTGAGTAGTATGGATCTTAGAGAGATGGGGTGGGATTCTAACGACAGGAGTGATTTGGCTCAGGATAGGGGTCAGTAGAGGGCTCTTGTGAACACGGTAATGAACCTTCGGGTTCCATAAAGTGTTGGGAAGTTCTTGAGTAAGTGCATAACTGCCGACTTCTCAAGAAGGGCACAGCTCCATGAATTTAGTTAATGTTCGTAAATATGAATTGTTCGTTTCTTGAAATTTCGTAAGTAGAGTTTCGCCTATATTTGCAATCCATGTTCTCAGCTGACCGTAACGGGCCATGCAAGCCTACAGTAAGGGACCGCACAACGGGGTACCACATGAGTGACATGT